TGCCCATCTTCTCTCTTATCTTCTGAGAAGGTTAGGGGACAAAAGATTACATATTCTTTTATCTCCCTCTTAGCTATTTTTGACGTTCCTCTCAAGTACCTTTGAACAAATAGTTTAGTAAAATTTGTCCTTTACGTTGCCCTCTGAAAGTAGTCTAAATAATGAGCTTATGAACTGATTATGCGGATTTGTTAATTCAGGATTATATTTATCTTCATGAAACTTTGCCTTTTTCTTCTCCTGTAAACTCTTTTTAATTTTTCTTTAATACCTGTACTCCTTTCATCTCTATCCTTGATAACAGTGTATTATTCTTTTCTGGAGAATCAATTCTTACTCCACAGGACATTTTAAATGGATAATGACAGCCATGCCACATGATAGCAATAACTTTGAAAAGATATAAAGCATCATATTTCGCCTTGACTTTCATTAAGTTCTAGCCTAGGATTTCCAACACAAATATCTTCCTCCTCTTTACTTCCAACTTCCGTCTGATGGCTCCTGTTCTCTTATCCTCATTTAGACAGTCCTTTTGTATGTGTGTCTTGCATAATAAATTATCTCGGGCCCTTTTTGGAAGTAGATGCAGAACAGAGAAAACACTGCTTCACTGCTGTACTGCTCTTGTCAGAGAGAAGGTCATGATAGTTGTGCCTTTGTCTCTGCTACTCTTTGTGTTCATTTAAAACTTTAAGCTCCTATTTATTCATTTAGTGAACACAAGTATTTATTACGCACCACTATCTTCCAGCACTGCTAAATGATGCCCATTCACAGACTCCAAGACAAACTGGTATGGAGTGTCCCATGGGACAGAGACGCTGAAAGCTGTGCCTAGTTCAGGGCTCCAAGTTGCCATATCCTCCCTAAGGCGGATGAGATCCAAAGGCCCAGAGGTGGGAGGGGTGGGGATCGGCATGATGCCTGTTTACACATGGACGTCCTAGGAACAGGGGGAAAACCTTAAAGCTCAAGGAAGAACTCACAGCTGGGAAGGAAAGAAGTTTGTACTGTCAAAGTAGGAAATTCCCCAGAGGGTCCTTTCTATGAAAGCACGAGGGTCCTCCTTTAACAAGCAAGGGCGACCACATAATCTCATTTTTTTACAGTGGCTTTATATCCCACCATCTATACCTCAACAAAAATTACTACCGGAGCAAAACAAAAACCAGTCATCAAACCAAACTGATTTGTGTCCCACCTCAGTCATGAATTTCAAGTGTGACCACCATCCTTAAGATGAGGATAATACCATAGGGCTACGGTGGCAATTAAATGTGCAAATGTATTTTTTAAACTTAGCAAAGTGCCTGGCATATACTCACTCAAGAAATCTAACATTATTAAAAACAACACAACTACTAGACAATATATATTAATGAAATAATCCTGTAAAAATGCTTACAGTGAACACCTGGATAAGTCTGTTAATTCTGCTGTGAAAGAAAGTTGTGGCTTTATTCTTTCAATATCCATTTCATCAAATTCTGAAGCTAAATAAGAAGAGCTCTAGAAACAAAAATAAATATATAATTTACAAGGTAAGTTCATTGCTTAGGACAATTATTCTTAACAATTAAACTTTTATTTCTTATATTTTTCATTTTGTTGGGTGACTGTTACAAATACCAAGATTCCCTATTTTGCCAATTAAATATTATAACTAGTTAGGATGAGTTGAATGTTATTTTGCAATATAAATACCTCCTGTTTCTCCCCATTCTTAAATGCTTTTCCTTCAGTTTTCTTCTTAGTCTCAGGCATTTTTGACAGTTCTTCCTGTTTTTGTTCACCACATTTATTCACTTTCATCCTAATTAATAATAGAATTATTTAAAGCAGAAATAATGCAATTATTTGAGAGTTGTTAGTGATCTTGCCAATACTCACACACACACACAATCTCTTAACAACAAAAATTTTACAGTCTAAGGAAATTGTCAATATGATAACGACTTCTACTGCTACCACCACTGACTACTACTACCACCACCACCACCACTAACTACTGCTGCTGCTGCTGCTACCACCACTACTACTACTGCTGCTACGGTTAGCGTCACTAACGACTACTACTGCCACTACTGCCACCAGCTAACCCTTCTATCCTCCATGATTCTGCTACTTCATTCTGCCACCATCACTTCATAAAACCTGCTCTAGTTTCTCGATCAGTAACCTCCATGTGAGGAAGTCCAATGAACACTTTTAGTCCTAGACTTAACGGATTTTTTAGAAGCATTAAACACTGTTAACCACTCCCTTCTAGTTAAAATACTCCCCTTTCTTTGTCGCTGTGGCAAAACAGTCTTGCTGGCGTTTCTCTGCCCCTCCTCTGCCAAGCCATCCAAAGCAGCTTCTCAAGACTTAGCTCCCGGCGCTCTCCTCACCTCCCGCTCCACCCTCCCCCTACGCCAGTTCTATGCACTGGTGCAGCTTCAGTTACTGTTACTCTGCCACAGAATTCCACATTTTTCTTTCTAGCACAAACCATACATCCAGCTGCCCGTTCATTCCTTTTTTAGGGATATCTCAAAGACTTACAAATTCAGTATACCCAAAACAAAACACAGGAAGAAAAGACAATCTGAGCTTCGTGTCTAGGTCCCAGGTCTTCCTGTTGTAAGTACTGTCTTTCCCGTAGGCCTGGCTACAAGTTTATTCAGTTACGTACACAAGGTGAAGGCTTGTGGTGAGGTCACAAGTAACAAACTTAGCCAGGAAATGCAGTTCCCAGGAGCATCTTCCAACATCTTTTCTAGTTGATCAGAATGATACTTAGCTCAAGCTAAATACCCCATTTTAGGGTAGTAGGGGCTAGCTAGTCCTGTTGGGGCCAACTGGGGGGTTTGGGTTGGAAGTCTGTGGAAACAATGTGGAGAGGCCGCCCAAGCCAAAGTTCACTGGGAAAGCTGAATGTTGAAGATCAAAAAGAACAAACGCAGATCCTCCGGTGGGACTGGAGTTTAGAACTGAGAATAAGGCTAGGTGGCAGGCAATATTGGTCCAGAGCCAGTTCTGAACAAGTTTATGGCACCTGCGGCTCTGTTTTTCTGAAAGAGGGTTCATAATACCTGGGTATTTTAGACTGGTGTAAAAGATTAGGGCCAAGTCAGCAAGTTTACATGAATTCAGAAATCTAAGATAAACAAAATTCCATGCTACATTAGGTTTAGAAACTGTCAGAAGCACTCCTGTTAAAAACCACTGCAGCAGGAAAAAAAATCAGCAAAGCTAAATATCTTTCTTAATTGCTTGAAATTATACTAATGTTTCATAGTTTTGCGAAACAAAAGACCCAGGACAATGGGTTGTGGGAGGGAACCAGTTATTCCATAGCTTAAAACAAAAATAGCTTGGACTTCCGGGCAAGATGGCAGAGTAGAAGGACGC